CTCTAGTCTCCAAGAAGATGGAGTCTTATATAATGTAATATCATCACAAGTGTGACATCCCATCACTTTTGGCATATTCTATAGGCTAAAAGGAAGTCACAAGTCCCACCCACCCTCAAGAGGATGGGATTACACAAAGGCATGAATACCAAAACCAGAAGATAGGAATCATTGAGAAGGTCACTTTAGGGTCTGTCTGTCACAGTCCATTCCTCTGGCCTCCAATTATTCGCGTCTCTCTTAAATGAAAAATACATCAGTCATCTCCCAAAGTTCCCAAGAGTCTCATCTCATTATAACATCATCTCATCCCAAAATCTCATCATCTCAGTCAAGTCCAGGCGGTATATGTATATAAGATCTTGGGTTTAATACATTAAGTACAGTTCCTAGGGTACAATTCCTCCTCTCCATCTGCAGACCTGTGAAACTAGAGACAAGTTATCTGCCCCCAACACACCCAAAATACAATAGTGAATCAGGCACAGGATAACAGCTATAGACATTCTGATTCAAAAAAGGGAAAAAAGGAAAATAAAAAAGGAGTCATTGATTCGCAGAGGTTCTGAAACCCAGCCTGGCAAGTGTCAGGAGTTGCTCAATTAGTTTTCAAAGCCTGGGAATAACTCTCCTTGGCCCTTTGTCCCACCTCTTGGCTCTTGATTCTCTCCACTGAGTCATCCTTTCTTTATTGTGAAAGGTAGATTAGAAAGAGAAGACTTCTTTTGGGATTCATTTCACTCACACCTGCTACACGATTTCAGGTTTCAAGCTGCCTTTGAATCCAGGCTAGAGGATACCAAAGGAAAAAAAATCTAAGGACCTCACTGCTGGATTGTTCTTACTTGGGATCTGGTTTCTTTCTTCAATACACCTGCTACCATTTACATTTCAGAGTCCTCACATACCTGTTCTATGTATTCTGTCCAAGGATTTTAGTTGCATCCAAGAGGAGAAACAAGGTGGAGTGTGTTTATTCCATCTTCACCAGAACTAGAAACTTCCATTGTTTATTTAAAAAATTTTAAAGTAGACAGAAGAAATAATACATTTACACAGTACAAGAGAGTATAGAATAAAAAATGATCTCCCTTATTCCACTGTTCACCACTTTTTTATTTCCCTTCCCTGCTGGCAAACACTATTATTAATTTCTAATATACTTGTTCAAAGAAAATTTATGCATATACAAACAAATACTAATATGTACTTTTATACTCTCCTTTTCACAAAAGATAGCACACTATATACTCTGTTATACATTCTGCTTTTTTCGCTTAAAGAATATAGTGGAGATCAATCTATCAATACATGTGCATTTCTTTGGTGTGGCTGCTTAGTGTTGCATTGGGTCAAAGTACCAAAATTTATGTAACCATTTACCAGCCTTAAAAACAAAGCTACAGTAAATAATGTTACCCATACATTCTTTCAAACCTCTGAGAGCTTACTTGTAGCATAAATTCCTAGAAGTGGAATGACTGAGTAAAAGAGTATGTGAGTTTGTAATTGTTACAAATCAAGTGACAGTGGTCCCCATCCACCCCAGGGTAGTCACTCTTCTGACTGTTTTTGAGTGCTATAAATAGAATTATACACTACGTATCATTGTACATCTGACTTTTTCTCCCCAATATGATGTCTCAGAGATTTACCCATGAAGTAGTATGTAGTAATATTTTCTCTTTCTTACTGCTGTTGTATTCAATCGTATAAATATTTCACATTTGTAAAAATGTATTCTATTTTTGATTGATGCCTACATTATTTCTAATTTTGGGCTCTTATGAAAGAATTTGTGCCTGTCTTTTGGTGTGCATATTTAGACATTTTGATCATGTTTGAAGGGGTGGAATTGCTGGGTCATAAGTTATGCATATGTTCAGCTTCAGAAGATTCTGCTACAGAATTTTCCAAGGTAGTTTCATTGATTTACACTCTCCCTATGCGAGCAATGTACATAAGTTCTAGTTGTTCCATGTCCTCACTGACTCTTGGTGTTTTCTGTCTTTTTAATTTTAGCCTTGGTGGTTTGTAGCAGTATCATATTACAGTTTTAATTTGTATTTCCCTGATGAGTATAAAGCTGATGATTCTATTGTGTTTCTTGCCTTCTTTGTATGAATTTAATATTGCTAAGAGAATTGAATGAACAAATAGAAATTGAAATGAGGATTTCCATGTTGTCTAGAGCTGAGAATAAGGGACTACATTTGGCCCATGAAGCCTTGCCTCCCCTTTGTCCATTGCCTGCCTCTTTCCGCATTCTTCAGTACCAGCCCTACCAAATGAAAGCCTCACACTTGCAGAGCCCCCAGAGAACACGAGCATCCGTCTCTAGATTTTACAGACTAGGAGTTATTATTATATAGCCGTATTCATTCCAACATTAAAGTAAGTGTGAATGACCTTTGTGACTTAAGGAGGAGAACTTAGAGATTTTGAAACACAGAACATTTCAGATTCAAGGTATTGCTCAGAGATAGAGCAGCCACTTTGCTTGGCACGGATCATGCCGTTTCTGAGGTGAACAAGTGTGGTGAAAGACCATGACTCCTGATTCTATGAGGTGTGTCCACTGTATCACCAGGCCCCTATTCTGTTTCTTAAGAGATGGGGTTCTATGACAGTGTCAGGCTCAGAAATGAGATTTTAAATGGCTGTTTCGTGTTTCATTTTATTATTTTTAAAGCTTACATGCATGTGTATAGGTCTGTGCCGCTGAGTGTGTGTGAGGGATGCCTGTATGTGTGTGTGGCATGCGTATGTGTATACATGTGTGTATGCATGTGTATGTGCACCTAGTTCTTTCTGCTGAGCGGGCCTGGAAGCAATAATAAGCCAGTAGCAATGAGATCACATAGCATGCATATATTATTTTCTAAACACCACTCCCCATAAGAAGAAACAAGGATCCTTGGAAAATGCCTTGACTCCATATCCAGGACAGAGAATGTACAAGATGACTTGGTACATCTTATGCCAGAAAACAATCAAGTCCTCAAATAATATTGGAGCTTGTGAAAGGACACAGGAGTCCGATTGAAGTGTCTCCCTCTGGCCAATAGGTAACTGACCAGACGTTATGTTATGCGCAGAATGTTTGTGTCCTCCCCTCAATTCGTATGTTTGAAATCCTAACCCTCAATGTGATGGATTTGAAGGTGGGGCCTTTGGGAGGTGATTAGGTTTAGACAAGGTCATGAGGGTGGGGCTCTTATAAGAAGAGACGTGAGAGAGCTCTCTCCCCCCAGCTCTCTCTCTCTCCCCACCCCAAGTGAGCATAAAGTAGAGGCCGTGTGAGCACACAGCAAAATGGGGGCCACCTGTAAGCCAAGAGAAGAGGCCTCAGGATGCAACCTGCCTCGAGAGCAGCTCGATCTTGGACTTGTAGCCTCCAGAGCTGTGAGAAATAAATTTCTGTTTTGTAAGCCCCCCAGTCTATGGTATTCTGTTAGAGGAGCCTGAGCTGACTAACACAAGAAACTACTGAGCATCAAAGTAATTAAGGAACAAGGAATAAGATGAAATAGGAGCCCATGAGTGCATACTGATGTAAATAAAGTCATGAATAAATAATAAGTGAGAGAAAAGGAAAAGCTGTTCCTTATAATGAGTGCCAATTAATAAACGTAGAAGGAATGGAGCCCTGTCTCGCAAGCATAATAGTAAGGATGATTAGTGGATGAAAGTTTGATGAGGGACAGGATGCCTACTTAGTCTTGAAATATATTCCCGCAAAATAACTTACTGGTTACAAATAGAAAAAAGGAAATTTACAGTGGAGAAACCTGGTTACCCAAGCGATCAAAGTTTATATCAGCAGTAACGGGACAGACGGACATCACATGTCCCGGGGGTGCATGGTGTTGGGGTGCATGCCATTCCACAGGGTGCAATAAGGACAGAACTTCAGTTTTATGGAATTCCTCCCCAAACTGCTAACATGGATCTAGTCATGTGGAAATGTCAGATTAACCCAGACTGAAAGTAGTTGGGCTATATTCCTCAAGGTCTCAAGGTCATATAGGACAAAGACAGACCGAGGAGCACCTCCAGATTAAAGGACGTGTCAACTAAATGCAACGAGCGAGCCTGGATGCGATCCGGAACCCAGAAAAAAAGTCGTTATGAAGGACATTACCGGGACAATTGACAAAATTTGAATACGGGCTGCGTTTTAGTTAATAGTGTTGTGTCAATGTTGAATTTCCAGGTTTTTATCCCTGTACTGTGGTCATGTAAGAGGTGCTCTTATTTTTAATATTTAAGAGGTAACAAGGCCCAGTGTCTGCAACTTATTTTCAAATGGCTCAGAAAAAAAAAGACAGACATATTACAAATATGGGGAGAGAGAGAGTGAGAGAGAAAGAAAGTAAATGGGGCTAAATGCTCAAAAAATATACATGTTGTTGTCAGTGCCATTGAGTCGATTGTGACTCCTAGCACCCCTGTGCACAGCAGAGCAGAACCCTGCCTGGTCTTTTTGTGCCATTCTCTCACCTTCCACCCCGTATCAGACGATACTCTGCTGCTATTCATAGAGTTTCATGGCCAATTTTTTCAGAAGTGGGTGGCCAGGTCCTCCTTCACGGTCTGTCTTAATCTGGAAGCTCCACTGAAAACTGTCCACCGTCAGTGACCCTGCTGGTATTTGAATTACCAGTGGCATAGCTTTCAGCATCACAGCAACACGCAGCCACCACAATATGACAACTGATAGACGGGTGGTGTGGTTCTCTCACCGGGGAACAAACCTGGGCCCCAGTGGTGATCTGATATATCGGACCATATATATATATATATGAAAGTTCGTAATTCAAAGGCTGTGTCTAATGATCCAGGATCACAATGTCATCACTAGAATACCCTCCTGGATTTTTCTCCCTCACTACTGTCCAGGGAAGGGGTTCCTCCTTTCCCCCACATCGGGTCTTTACACATGGGTGCCCATCAAGCCTGCACAGTTGAGTCAACATGTTTAACTGCCACTCGGGAGCCATCCTTGGAATCCTGGGGCAGGACCCTTCCAGCTCCAGGCAGCAGCAGTTGCCCTAAACCAGCAGCTCCTTTGGACTGTTGGAGGATGAGGAATTAGATTTTCAGGTCTCCCTGCTCCACCAAGATCTCCGGGAGGGGAAAGGCTGGGAGTGTTCGTGTCACTATGAGCAAAGAGAGAACCCCCTTATTCTGTAGGATGAAGGATTACAGGCTCCTGCAGAATGCCTCAGGAAGGTAAGGAAGGCCCCTGTCCACAGTTCTTTCCCTGTTAATACCAGTAATAAACCGAGTATGCTTTTTACATCTATAATACTCTCTGCGCTTTGAGTTTCAGGGCTTCTGCTTTCAAATGAATATTTCTTTTTTTAAGATAAATTTCTATTTTCTTCTCTTAAAAATTGTAACAGGAAATGGTGCTTTAAAATACAAGTAGCACTATGTTTAAAACACATCACGAAATTGATAAATTAGGAAACTAACTGGGTTTATAATTCCTAAACATTCTTCAGTTCACTTTCCTGATTTATCAAGTCTAAGGTTTGGACTGAGGCTTAAAATTATGACAATTTCTGTAAGCTAATTCCTTTTCTGTGTGCATTAATAATATACAGCAAAAAGTTGTGTGCCCACTATATTTAGGCATCAAAAGAGATATATATACATGTATATCTGCTAATATGTGTACACACACATACATAATATATGTATGTATATATTTTGAATGCTTCTAACTACTCTGCCAGTTAAATATGTATTAATACCCCATTTCACGCCTTCAGTTCAGAGATGTTTTGTAACTTGTCTAAGCTACATAACTCCTAGAAGCTAGAACCAAGTTGGTTCCCAGGACCGTGTGACCCAGAGCCTGCGCTATTCTCACTAAGTTTCTTCCCGGCACATGTGTTGGTTTGAGTCTGTCTTGTCTAAGCTCTTTTCATTGTGATTTGTTCATTGGCAGTTATTTCCTTTTAATTCCCATAAGAATTTGTTCAAGCATTGCGCCCAGTTTGCTTCTTTGATTATTAACATAGAGGAAAGCCCACAGCAGAAAATATTTTTTCTCCTAAAAGCCCTTCATATCATGTAACACATACAAATATATTTGAGATGCGGCCTGATTTCAAGTTCTATTATAATGACATGTAGTATAAAAGCATCATAATTGAGCCCAACAAAGTCTCTGTCGATCAGATTCAAAGAAATATATTTTCCAAGTACATCGAGTTCAGTTATATAAGAATCTATGATATTTCCTCTTATGGTTAAAGATACAAGATGCTCTAAGTTTTCACTAGGAATAAAAATATTCAAAATTGTGTAATTGGTTTCTTTAGGGCATATCTTTTCTCAGGTGCTCAAGAAATTTGCTTATTTCCCGGTAGGCATTGACTCTGATTCAGAAGAGTCACTATTCTTCGAGGACTGCTGCCCTCACAAAGGTCGCACACGTGGCCAGTGGAGACGCTGAGAGTGGGGTTCTTGTTATATTCCCTCTGCGTTTGGTCAAGAACTGTGATAGCTCCACTCCAGTCCTAACGCCAGCATCACATGGGATTTTAGACCCAGATTACTACTATTTATTGATACTACTTTAGACTTAATCATGTTACCTAGTTATGTTGTCACTATTTTTGTGTCCTATTTTTCCTTTTCTTGAATTCAGTTTTTGTTTTGCACTAGAGAGCCTTCTGGAGGAATTCTTTCAGAAAAGTCTGTGTGTAGTAACCTTTCTATCTCTTTGCATGTCCAAAAGTGTCTTTGGTTTGCTTGTACTCGGGAATTCTCATTTGCCGGCCACAGAACTTGCTGGGGAGCGATGGGACTAACCACCCAGGGACTGGGCGATCCTTCTGGGAATGGAGGTTAATGCTGTTACATTAATAAGTGATGTGCATTGCACATATGCTTATCGATAAGTTATTCACAGATGGACAGAGTGTGGAATTTCAATGCCTACATCAATTTTTAAATTAATCTCTGATTAAGAATATAAAGTTTGGAATAGTGACCTTTCTTAATTAAGTCAATAAAACTGTCTTTGCCTTGAAAGAACTAATGATTTCTCCAACTATATGAGTTGAACCTAAGAAGCAGTCTACTCCTGCCCAATGTGTCTTACGTTTAGCCAGCCACTTCACATTTTCTAAGAGCTTTGTGAAAATCCAAGTCTATACATTTTGGTAGCATCTCTAGATTTTTACTCTTCTCTGTTGGTAGCAAATTTTTTTAATAAATCCTTAAAAGTCTTATGGTAAGATTTACTGTCAAGTATGTATCTTATATCTTTATTTAGGCTGACATGTTTTCCACTTTTGCATTCATATGTGTCTTTTACTTTCTATATGTTAGCATCGGGGATGAAAAGGATGTCCAGGGCTTGACCTTAGAAATAACCAAAGACGTGGAGTCTTTTAGAAATTCCAGCTTGGTCACAGGAGCAAGAGTGAGCATCAGTCACAGCCCAGGAAGGCTCACAGAATGGAAAAAAGAACAGGTGAAAATCATGATGATGAAGTTGCTGAATTATGTCAGTTTCTGTAGGTCTCAACCTACAAAAAGCCTTTTCATAAGAAAGCGGCCCTGCTTGGGGGGAGGGGAAGGTGTCATGGTGATAAGTGTAAAAACGAGACTGTTCATGAGAATCTTTAATTACCGCCCTCAATTATAACGAAAAGTAATATATTTTAATAAGGAAATTTTCTATTTACTATTCAAGAAAAATAAGAGTCCCGAGCACCTCTTAAGTTTTTCTGGATGTGATTTAAAATGTAAATATGAGATGGAAATGAAAACCTACTCACCTGATTTTGTAGAACGCGCTGGGGGCGATGGAGCGGTTTGATAAACGGGACGCGTCAGCGATGCTCACGTGGGAGTCGGCCCTGGACAGAGAGCAGACTTCCAGGCAGGCCCTCCCGGAGGCCGCTGCGGTCGCTCTGGCCTGGTAAGCCTGACGACGCCATTCTCAGGACGACTTCCAGGCTGGGTGCAAAGCATTTACAGTGAAGTTGCAGATTCAGTCTCTTCCTGTGACATAAAGTTTAGTTTTCCCCCAAAGAGAATAGATTTCTTCGACGAAATGAAAACTGATGAAAATTTGAAAGCAATTAGTTGCTTTTAACACATGTCCTTTCAACAGGCTTTAATTGATTCTGGCATCTCCACAAAATGGTGTCAATAATACTGAAAACTGATACGCCTGTGAATGAAGTTTCTCTTGTTTTCTCCTCCTTGTTTGCAAAATTTCTTTGGTTCACAAACATTCAAAATTCCCTCATAAGGAATGTCTTGCACATGTAGAAAAAAACATTTTTTAATGAAAATAGGTTGAGGCAAACTAAAAATTGTGGCCTATTTCCCACAGACCTTTTACTTCTGAAGCATCTGCTGATCTTAGTTTTACATATTTTTAATTATAACTTCTAACTAACTGTATGTTTCAATATGTGTATTTTTTAACTGCTGCCTCTCCCTATTTTGTTTACTGGTTAGTGGAGCATTTTATCCCGTTCTTACCACAAAAATAGAGCAAATTAAACTCCAACCATGTGAATGACGATATGATAAACATACAAAGAGACAATAAACGTAGCTAATGCATACAGCAATGTAGGTGAGATGGTGTAATATTGGAGAGTAAAGAGAAAAAAAATTCAAGCCAGTGTGAAAATATAAATGTGACATCTGTTTCAACATAAATGTGCTCCACAAGAGTCATTTAGCAACAGGAGAAGAAAAGTAAGCCTCTGAGGGCCACCTTTCACGCCTAAAACCTTATTCACGTAACTGTAGTCATTAACATTTGGATCAATTTCAATGCAAGAAATTTAACTACTGTAAAGCCAAAAACTTTATATGTTACAAATGATCCAGTTCTAAGATCAGTGCATTTTATTTAAATATGAAAAGGAAAAGACATTTCTTGGTATGTGACTGATACACTGTAAAGAGCTGTCGAATGACATCTGAGTAGTCTTGCAGAATAAACATGTTATTTCGTCTTATGCTCAGGGCATCTCAATCCACACATTTGCTCAAAAGCAGGCATGTGAATCAAATGGAAAATAGCATATATATTCATTTATTTGCTCCATTATTTTGGTTCCCTGTGAAACAAATCCTGATGCAATTACCAAATCTCTCTTATTTGGAGTGTTTCAAATACGAAATTCTCCTTGACTGAGGGTTCTACCTGCAGTAGCCCCACGTCGCAATTATGGGGGCTCCAAACATAGGTCAGTCTCCACACTTAGCACTTAATGACGTCTTCCCTTCTTTCTGCTTCTTTTAGTAAAATGAAAGCCAAAGAGAAGTACCAATCCGACCTGTGGTTAGAAATCGAACACCTGACTAAGGGTGAGGAGCTTGGATCTAAAAGGGTACGGGGCTAATTGTTACCTAAAACAGGACCTATTGCACTCCCCTCCGCTGGGTCCACTTGCCCACACAAGAGCCAGCTTACTACACAGATGGGAAAATAGCTCTCATAAGCGAGCCTGGAGCCCGAGGCTAGTGTGTGTATGTGTGTGTGTATCCACTCGTATTCAATAAAATGTTCAAAGAGCCATTTTTTTGGCATTTAGGATAGGCCGTCTATTTTTTTTTATGTGGTCATAATAGCTTATCACATAGTGGGATTTCAGCTGTACATTATTGTTTGTCATACACCATATAATTGTGCCCCTTCATCCCTTGTGCCCACCCTCCACCTCCTTCCCCTGGTAACCACTGATTTGTTCTCGTCTGTAAGTTTGTTTATCTTCCACATGTGAGTGAAATCATATGGTGTTTGTCTGGCTTATTTCGCTTAACACGATGCCCTCAAGATCCATTCATGTGGTTGCAAATGGGATGATTTTGTCTTTTTTTATGGCTGAGTAGCATTCCATTGTACATATATACCACACCTTTTAAAGAACCATTTTGTTTGGTTTTATTTTACACAATTTAGAGATTTTTCTATCATAGTAAAAGCAACAAATTTTGCTTTAAGTGGAACTACCTTTTTTCAGTATCATGAAAATGTTCTTGTAATAGATAAACATTTTTTATTTCATACCATTCACTTCCCAGTTTGGGAATGTTCCCACGAGCCGCAGCGTGAGGCAAAGCCACTCGGGTGATGTGGAAGTCAGCTAACACTTATACTGGCGAGGGCGGAGGGGACACGTGTCTGTGTGTTCAGGGCTGTCCCAGACCCTGTGGGGAGACTGAAACGTGCAGCTGAGGAGACAGCACGGAAGACTCGCTCAGACTTGCATCGGGGTGCTCATGACCATCCTCCGTGAGTGCCTGCTTTAAGCCATTTTCAACTATTTATTAGTTGAAACGACTTTTTTTTTCCTCCATTAAGATCTCCTAGACATTTTCCCGTGAATCTGGAAGCTAAGAATATGTCACACTTAACACAAGAATTTCTTAAATTTCCTTTCATTATGAAGGTATTAATGACAAGAGAACTTAGTAAAAATAAACTGTGGCTGTTCCCTTTAAGCGAAGGGATGTTCTAGTCTCTTAACAGAGGCCATTTCTTATACAAAGTAGTCACTGGAACTTCTTTTGTATGTTTGAGCTCCTCTTCTTTCAACCGCCTCAGCTCTGTGGCTCACATTTGACTGCATCAGAGCAGCGTGGGCCTGCACCAGCTGATGAATATTCTGGAGGGCAGAGGGTAGACTAATAAGGAACTGAGGATAGGCAAACTCCGGAAAGCAGTGGCTGACCAGTAAATACTTGTGGGTTGACTTTTTCATGGACTATAGAAGAAGCAGTTAAAGAGAACTTGGGTACCTTTGCAAAGATGAGAATCGAGATAGGTTCTAATTAAAGAGAGGTGTAAGGAGGCACAGAACGTGGGATGGCTGGTGTAGAGCCATCAGGTGGTGGTGGCCCCAGGGCAGATGCTCCTACAGAGAAGTCAAGGCCGGAGCGTTGCTCACTACAGAACGCGGGGTTCTGTGGACGGGGTACTTAGGGTCCAAAAATATTGATTGGTGGGAGTACTAATAGGCTTGACGGTTTTTAGAAGGAATCTAAAAGAAAAGACCATATATTATCATCATGCTTTATGAAGTTAACATTTCAACCTAGAGTTTTATTTTTCTCATTATTTTCTCTCTGAATGGTGCAGAGCAATAAAATCCTTGTGCAGTGTTAGGTGACATTTCTGAACACATTTCCTTATTCGACCTCTAAGCAATCTTATTAGTAATTTATAGCTGAAAAGCTGACACTCCTGGCCATGTCAGTTGCTAAAGGTATGCTTGTTAGAGAAAGTCTAACTTTGTACTTTTTCTTCTCTGATATTTGAAAGGAATCATAATTATACTTTAAGACTTCATTTTGAATACCATATATTTAAAGTTCGTACAATTGCTAGATGACAAAGTTTGGAATTTCTTTAAAATTCCCTTGAAGAAAAAACCTGTAGTTGGATAATTTATTCTGTCTAAATAAATAACACCTTGATACTATGATAAAAGTTTTAAGTGTAATTAATATTTGTTTTATACCTGCCTATGTTCTTATTACAGATAACTTAGGTTAAAAAGTGCATACTGGGTACCTGGGGGGAGTAATTTGAAATTGACTCCTGGAGTGGGGAGAAACTAGCATAGAAAGAGCAGCCATCATTGGTATGACTGTATTCCTGAACTCCCCTTCGGTCTTCCAAAAATGTTTCAAGTTTTATTTAAATGTAATGCTATTGGGGAAAAGAAAGCAATGATTCGATACACAGGAGTTAAATAATTTGTGCAAATGTATATAATTTACTTATGTACTTTCATTATAAGTTTACCAAGAATTTGCCAAAAATTGTTTCATTTAAGATGCAGAATGCTAAGATACACTAAATACGTTTAATATGTAATATATAAAATATAAGAACATATTTTGATTTAAATATGTATACATGAAAAATCAGATTATCTCTGAAAAATACGATCTGAGAACAATTTTAAACAGATTAAGACTGAAAAAGGCATGATTATTAGTTTCAATTTTCTAGCTTAAAAAATGTTTGCTATTGTTTTCCAGGTATAGTGCAACAAGACTCAAGCTCATCTTCCTCGGCAGGCTTTAGTACAACCAGCAATGCTGTGGTTCCATCTGAGGTAAGTCCTAAGCTTCATGAGTATGTTCTACACGCGCTTCAGAAGTCACTGATGTTCTCAAAATAGCGCTTCCGTCTTGTGCTAAACCTGTTTTCGTATCATTCCACGTGAGAGGACTGAGGGCTTGACACAAGCACAAGGAAAAAGACAGGTGTTAGTGGAAAGTAAGGCTGCAAGTTTTTGTAAGCTGTAAAGCCATCTCTATTACAACTAAAATAACTAGCAAAATATTTTACGTTGGGAGCTATGACACATATACATAAAAGTGCATCAAATACAGTGTGACCCCCACTCAGCTGGGGGTTGCGAAACGGCTGACGCCCCGGAGCTGCGCCCTTCTGGGTCGCAAGGGCTCTCTCTCTGCTGGGGACCACCCTGCTGCTCACGGCACTGACTTCCTCTTTCTCTCGTGTTTTTACACTCGGTATATGCATCCCTAAACAATAGGACTTAATTTTAGAATGCATGTGAGTGGAATCACGCTGTAAGAAGTTCTTTTTTTTTTTTTTGAGGAAGATTAGCCCTGAGCTAACTACTGCCAATCGTCCTGTTTTTGCTGAGGAAGACTGGCCCTGAGCTAACATCCGTGCCCATCTTCCTCTACTTTATACGTGGGACGCCTACCACAGCATGGCTTTTGCCAGGCGGTGCCATCTCCGCACCCGGGATCCGAACCAGTGAACCCCGGGACTCCGAGAAGTGGAACATGCGAACTTAACCGCTGCGCCACCAGGCTGTCCCCTGTATAAGTTCTTTCATGTCACAGCATTGAGTTTGTGAGTTTCATCCACGTGCAGTCATAATATGTCCAACTGTACTTCTGTATAATGTTCCTTTCTATTGTTGAGGAACCTTTGGATATAGGTCTGGCTCCACTCAGGAAAACAGGAAATCTATCAGTTATTTTAATAGACATTTTATTTTATTTACTTATTTGAAACAGGTTCATTTAGGTGCAATTGATGTGCATAGTTAATGTATTCAATTTGATGAGCTTGGACAAATGTGCCATCAAGCTAATAGATGTATCTCTATCTCCAAGGTTTCTTTGTGCTTCTTTGTTGGTGGTGGTGTTGTCGTCATTGTTAGAACACTTAACATGAGATAACCCTCTTAACAATTTTTGAGTGTTCACTACAATATCGTTAACTATAGGCACAATGTCGTACAGCAGACCGCTAGAACTTACTCGTCTTGCATAACTGAAATCTTATACCCATGGACTGACATCTCCCTTTTTCCCCCTCCTCCCAACCCCTGGCAACCACAATTCTACTCTCAGCTTCTAAAGATTGACTACTTTAGATTCTTCATGTAAGTGGAATCATGCAGTATTTGTCCTTCTGTGACAGGCTTGTTTCGCTTAGGGTAATGTCCTCTGGGTTCATCCATGTAGTGGAGACATTTTCAAACAGAGAATTGGTGGAACAGATAGTGAGGACTAAAAAGACAGAAAGAAAACAGTGAGGTAACAGAGAGGGAGCAATTGAAGGAGCAGCTGCCCCTGCTGGGGTTTGAGAAACAAAATGAAGGGATTGAGGTTTCAGAGCCTAGAAGCTTGGAGGAGGGGCAGTCCAGACCTCTGAGGGGGCGTGATGGGCTGGTTCACAGCATGAAGAAGGAAACTGGAGTCGGGGACCAACTGCTGCAGGCGGGGAGGGCTCTGCAGGCGATTACAGAGTCGTTGTGCACGAGGCAAGAAGAAACACCCAGACTTCTCAGAGATTATAAACACTGGCCCTACATAGATGCTAATTCCTGGGACCCAAAGCACCACTGTTGTCCACCAGTCAGCACGGGGGCCCTGCCACACTGGGAGGTAAATGACATTTTGGCCTGGGACTGTCTTTCAGTGGACCCAGCGTGGGATCTAACTAACCACAGGTTAGAGCCATGGTTACTGAATAAACAATAGGAATAAACATACCCAAAACATGGTGTGACCTATGTATCATCTCCACAGCCTAGAGAAAGAGGGAGGCCTGTTACGATAGGAAGAGCCAAATATAAGTCCTGAGACCCCTCTAGGATAGTCTGGTAGGCAGAATTCTAATTGACCCTTAAGAGTCCTGCCACCTGGTGTACACACCCTATAAAACCCTCTTCCTTTGAATGTGGGCAGGACAAGTGAAAATGAGACAGAATGTCACTCCCATGATTAGGTTACTAATGAGTTGAACCTGAGTTGATAAAAATAGAGGTTATCCTAGGTGGACCTGGCCTAATCAGGTGAAGTCTTTACAAGAAGATTGAGTGTCAGAAACTCTCTCCTGTGGACCTGGAAGATGCAGCCCCCATGAGTTCTACATCTGCAAGGAAATGACTCTGTTAACAACCTTGTGAGCTGGAAAGAGGACCCGGATGCAGCCTCAGATGAGACGCCAGCCCTTTCACATCTTGGTTTCAGCCTGGTGAGATCCTGAGCAGAGCACCCAGCTGGGCCATGCTGAGAACTCTGACATGCAGGACTGCGAGATAATGAATGGGTACTGTTGCAGGGTGCCAAGTCTGTGAGGATTCGTTATTCATCAATAGAAAACCAATACAAATAGAAAAGCAAAAGCAATACTATGTCCTGGGGGCAGTTGCAGAGGGTAGTGCAAAGATTTGAAAAATGCAGGGCTAGCTGTCTTTATCAGTCCTCCCTTAATCACCTACTTCTTTTGTGCAGAAGCACATAGATCTTGGAGAATGCAGTGGCTGACCGAAGCTTCATCAGATGGTGAGCCCAACTGCAACTCCTATTCCATATCTGGTATCTTTACTGGAGAAAAAATTTAAAAAGCCCACACACACAGTTCTTCGTTATCTATCTGACAAATGCTTTTCTTCCTTTTGTACCAATTTGTAAGTTCTGTTTTGGGCACAAAATAATGACCTCTTTATGGCTGCTTTTTGGCTGACAGTAATTATAAAACAACATTGATTATCAGACATATCTCTATTTCAGAGATGTTAAAATGTAAAAAAAACGCATCTTAAAGTTTATAAAATATGGTCGACAAGAAACTTGAAAATAACTACAGAAGAAGTAATAAAATGTGGCATGGCATATTCAAAAAATAATCAAACAACTTCTAGAAATTAAAAATGTAATTAAATTAATTAATCGATGAACGTGATTGACAGCAAAATGAATATAGCAGAAGGGAAAATTAGTGAATTGAAAGACAAATCAGAACAGGATGAAAAGAGGAATTAGTGGAAAATACAGTAGAGAGAATAAAAATAGTAGAAGGTAAGATGAGAAGGTCTAACCAGCAATTGGTTCATGTCCTGAAAGGTGAGTAGACAGAACAGAGCAATAGTTGAAAATAGTTGAAATTCTAAAGAATGTGTTTTAGGCAGAAAGAAATTGATCCCAAATGATAGGTCTGAGATAAGAAAAGGGGGGAAAAAAAAAAAGAAAGAAAGTGGTAAATATGTATGCAAATGCAAATTAATATTGACTGAATAAAACAGTGATAATAACATCTAGAGGATTAAAAAACAAAAGAACATGGATTAAAAATTGGAAGCAATAACATTTAATTCAGAAGAGGAGTATAAGAATTTAAAATATTCTAGGATTCATGTGTTGCCCAGGAAGAGAGTAAAGATTTAATCAAATTCTGATTTGTGGAATTAATTGTGCATGTTTTAATTTCTAGGGAAACTACAAATAGAATAGATACAGTATGAATAAGTTCAAAGGGAAAAAAAGTAAGGATAAACATATGCAGCTGATCTAACAAGACAAGAAGGGAGAGGAAAAGAAACAATGAATAGATGGCATAAACACAAACTAACATGGTAGAAATAAATGCCAATAAATCGGTCACTAAATAGATTGCAAGTGAAGAAAATACTCCAGTGAAAAAATAAAGATTGTCAGAGTAGATAAAAATAAAATCTAACATTTACTATTCATATGGGGAGCTCTAAAACATAAGCATATAGAAAGCAGAGATCACTATATAAAAATCAGATAAAATCTAAAGCAAAGAAATTACTATTGGAGGTAAAGAAAATCACTTAACTATGTAAGAAAAGGTTAATTTTACCTGGAAATCATGCTAGTTTTAAATATATATGGGCCAAATAATGTGGCCTAAATATATGTAATATGGAAAGTGACAGAACTACAAGAAGAAACAGACAAATCGGTAAGGATGGAGGAAGATCTGAACACACAATTCTCAGTAATTGATAGAGAATATCTGAATAAAATGGTTAACAAAATTGACCCAATGAACAAATATAGAACAGTATACATAAATGCTGAAAGCATTTTCTTCTTAAAATCACAAAAAACATTTTTCAACAAAGAGGAGATGGACCACAAACCACATCTCAACAAATCTCCGTGGGCTGGACTCGCGGAGACCACGTTCTTTGACCATGAGAAAGCTAAGTTAGACATAAATATTTTAAAATATATGTTAAGTTCTTATATGTAAATTAAGAAATACATTTTTAAGTAAACCATGAGTTAAAGGAAAAATTCTAGTGGAAATTGGAAAATGGTTTGGATAGAATAATAACAAAAATACTATACGTCAAAACTTGTGGAATGCAGCTAAAGCAATATTTAGAAAAAATTTATAGCCTTATGTACATAAAATAGAAAAGAAGAAAGACTGAAAAGCTGGTGATCTAAGCATCCGTTGAAAGAAGTTACAGGAAGAAAAGCAATTTAAACCCAAAGAAGGCGGAAGGCAAAAAATAATAAACTTAAAGCAAAGATTAACGATATAAAGAAAGTAACAAAATAGAATGGAACAGTAAAGCCCATAGTTTCCACTTTGATAAAGTTAATAAAAATGATGAAAGTATGGCATGGCTCATTAAGAAAGAAAAAAGGAAAAAAGAAAAAAAAAGAAAAAAGCACATAAAACCAATATCAAAAATGATAAAAGCCAACATTATTTCTGGGGTAGATAATTAAAGATAATAAAGGACATAGTGACTTTAGGCCATTTCAAAATATGAAAAAAATTCATATCAATATATGAAAAAAA